TGTTCCTGTGGAAAACAAAGAAATGCCCTAGAAACCCAGCCCCTGGCCAAGAGTTCCTGGAAGTGGGGGTGGGGGTGGGGGCTGAGGGAGGGGTTTCTTTGAACTGAAGGAATGCCGCTAGTCTCCTGGAGAGCTGGTGGCAATGAACTTCTCTGACTTCCCTCATTCACTAGGTCAGATATCAGTGCCTCCTCCTGACCCCGTGCTTCCAGATGGGGAAGAAGGCACGAGGCAGACGCAGACGCAGACGCGGCCCCCCTTCCGGCTGAAGAGGGCAAACGAATAAATAGTCACCACTCAGCACAGCCATCCTGGGAGCCATTGCGCAGTGCACGTGCTCATCCTGAAAACATTAGCTTTTGTTTTTGTCTGTTTAATTACGTGACACATCAAACACAGAAAAATTAGTAAGACCCAAGAAAAATGTGAAATAAAATCTCCCTTAGTTTCACTACTCAGCTATGACCCCAGTTCATAGTTTCACCTACAACCTTCCAGATGCTTTTGTATGTACACAACCTTAAAAAACCTTAAAAATACTAACCCCAACGTGGGGTGGATCTTGGAGCAGAAAGAATATTAATGGAAGAACTGGTAAAAAACAAATCGAGTCTAGTGATATACGCATGTTAATAATCTCTCAGCTCTGACCAGTGTACCACACTTACGTAAGATATTAACCTTAGGGAAGCTAGATGTATACAGAAACTCTCTGTACTACTATCCTTAGTACTTTTTTGCTAAACTTAAAATGATTCCAAAATAAAAAGTTTCCTTTTAAAAATGGACCCATTCTCTATTGTTTTATAACCGGTTTATTCATGCAGTAGTTAATCATGAAACCCTTGTCTTGAAATGATCTACAGCACTTCAGGCTCGCGTACTATTCCATCCCGTGAATGAATCATAGCTGATCTCCCCCATGGTTGGAAGTTTAGGTTGTTTCCAGTTCTTATCCTGTAATAAAAAATGCTGCGCGTACTTAGTCATTTCCTTAGGACACATGAACAAAGTGGAATCGCTGAGCCAGAGCTGCCGGCGGGGGAACACAGACTGTGTGCCGCTCGCTGGCCATCACTGTGCCACCCGCAGATGGGTGCTGTGACCCTCAGTTTGCAGATGAGCTCCCTGAGGCCTAGAGGTTAAGTGCCTCCTCTGCTATCAGCGCCAAGACCTAATCACAGTCACTTGTCACCCCGGAACGCATGCCTACATCTCTGGGCTTGTGGACAGCTGACAAAAACACTGAGGGCTTCCTTTCTTGAGTCTCACGGAAGAGGGGCACCTAGTTCACGGTGGAAGCACTGATGCGATGTGTTTGGGAGGAGGGCAGGAGGGCACGCGGGCCGTCAGCTCTGTGTGCACACCCTTGTATCCTGCTCTTCTCTTGTCCCTAGGCTTGGTTTGAAAAACACTGTATTTCTAACCAGTCGTGGATGAAAGCGGCCCTGAGTGCCCGTGGCCTCTGCACCTTCCCACCCTGCACGTGGAGCCCCCCCAGGCCCCGCCTCCTCCACCCTCTTCTCTGCAGTCTGAGCTCCCGCACCACATAATGAGCCCTTTCTGTACACTGTTCCTTTTCCAAAATAGACTTGAGGCAGTTTACAACCCACATGAAAGCAGGAAAACACTACACAGAAAACGGAGGAGACTGGGCGAGCTGGGGTGAGGATTTTATTAAGAAACCCTGGCAGAGAAAAGCACAGCGACTGAACACAGGGGAGTTTCCTCACAGCCGAGGCAAAAAGCAAACAGTAGAAAATGGAGCATTTCTTACCTCGTCTAAGAATGCAGACCAGCTAAATAGGAAGCAGAATTATCTCCTAGCGGAAAACTCAGCGAGATTTGCCCCCAAAGTCTTTATCTGAGGGGCACCATACAATGGAATGACTTGAGGGTGACTTGGACAGGACCTGGGCCTGTCTTGTCCAGCCCTCATTCTCTGATACCCTGTCTTTCTCCGCCCACCTGTTCTCTGCTGGGGGCGCCTCACCTGGACTGGGCACCTGAAAGGGGCCGTGTGTGAGAGACGCTCATCGTCCATTGCCCGGGACAACGCTGAACACAGCGGCTGCACTTCCACGTGAGCAGGACGGCATTCCCTCTGGGGTTATGAGTAATGCCATGCCATGAGGCGTATGGTGACTCAGAGCCAGCACACACACCCTCCTGTTGTCACCCTTTCTGGAACCAGGCCAGGGGTGGGTAGGTAGGGGAACTGATTCCTTTCCTCTCTCCCAGAGGAATTTGCCCCTCTGCCCCTTTGGGATAGGGGTGGTTCCAAGAGCTTTGTAAACCCAGCACACTGGGGCTTTAGCAACCACAGCAAGAAAGAATGCTGAAATAAAAAAGGCCTTACCTGAGGCTAGCACGCCCCACGCAGGTCCTTCGTGGTGACAGAGCAAACCTATTCTAATTTCTTCTCTCATTCAGACCCGCAGCTCAGAGACTTGTCTGCGTCACAAGTGCATGAGGATCCTTCTCCCCTCAGCAAAGTGTTGAAGCAGCTGGCACAGAGGAAAGAGGCTGGAGTGTGGAGCCACAGACCGGGCCACTCTGGTTCTGCCATTCCTCCACGTGTGAGCCTCCAAACGCACTCACACAAGGGGCTAGTAGTAGTTCTTACTTCCACAGGGTTACTGAGAATAAATGAGACAACATATGCAGAACCTACCGCACAGTAAGCATTACATACACTAAACTATTATTCATTATGAATACAAAAATCCAGAACTCTGCACACAGTTTCAGAGGCCCATGAACTTCTAGGGGAACTTCAGGTTAAAAATCCTTAGCCCGGTCCTTCAGTGAGACAAGAGGTCTTGCCAATGTCTACCTTTTCCCTGTGAACTCCAGCAGCATATACTGAGCACCAGCTGTGCACGAGGCACCCTGGCCCTTGTGAGATCGGTCACCAGTGTGGTCAGCACACTTGAGGGGCAGAGGCCATTTCCATGCCACTGGTGAGGTGAGATGAGTTGGTCAAGGTTTCGGGGTGGAGGAGCTGCTGCTGGAATCCGTCTTCTGAAGACTGGTGAGGCTTCCTGAGGACCAAGGCTGCTCTTCATCCAGCTCTGTTGTACCTGGGACACTCCGTGCCCACGGGAGACCCTAAGATGCACACCCTGGGTCCTCAGACCGCCAGTGATGTCCTCAAAATCAGTTCCGGCAGAGTGCGGTGTCCATGAGAAAGAACTCTCATCCGGAGAGGCCCTTTCTGCTGCAGAGCTGTGCAGGTTACTACATTACTTCAGCAACAAAATCAAGGGGACAGTTTCAGTCCTGACTCTGCCCTTTGTGTGTGACCTCAGGAATCACTTAGCTGCTCTGAGTCTCGGTTTCCTCACCGAGGAAACCTCACCGACTCTTCTTACAGAGAGGAGTCGACAGTTCTGACCACCTGGCGTGCTTCGTGAGGGTCAAGTGAGGTCGTGGGTGTGACGCCATTGCAGTCCCTGGCACATAGGTCCTGCTGGATTGGTAGCGGTTCTTAGCTCATTCAATCTCAAAGAAGTGAATGAAGAACAGCCCAGTGGGTCTTCTTTCAGTTTATATTTTCATCATACCATGAGGACTCCCAGGATGCTTGGACAAATATTTCCGTTTCTTGCATGATGATCAAGGAAGCGAAGAAAATTTTCACGGGGCATTTAAATAGCTCAGGAAGCCCAGGCCAGGTGGCTCAGTTGGTTAGAGTGTTGTCTCAATGTGCCGGGTTTGTGGGTTTGATCCCTGGTTGGGGCACGTGCAGAAATCAACCAGTGATTGCATGGACAGGTGGAGTGACAGATCGATGTTTCTCTCTCAAAATCAATCAATCAATCAATCAATCAATCAATCAATCAATAGCTCAGGGAATGGAAAGGCCCAGGCAAGTAGGTCATGTTGTTACCTGAAAGGGTCTGCAGAGGTAGGGAAGTAGTGAAGTGGAGGGGGGAGAGGAGTTGGCTTGGGGAGCAGAACTTGGTATGCCGGTGACAACTCTGCCCCTCCCCAGAACGGGAAGCTGAGGGAAGCGTGGTGGCACGGCCAGCCCAGCCCCCCTGGTTTCAGGGAGTGCTGTCATTTCCCAGAAACCTTGCTCGCAAGGGCAGTCCTTCCAAAGTGCACGACAGCTTCAGTTTGGACAAACAACTGAAGCTCAATCCGCCAGGGGAAGAAATGGATTTACAAAGAAGCAACCAAGGGTGTTGAAGAGGCATCTGAGAAGGCAGCCAAAAATCCGGCCTGGGGGCGAGCACTGACTTTCTAGGCCGCAGACACTGTCCACTGCACAGTTACCCAGCCCAGCGAGAAGCCCACATTCTTCCGCGTATTTGGACCAAACTAACACTTATCCTGTGTCTGTTGTGTGCCAGGCAAAAAGCTTCTCCTTTTTGAAATTTTAAAAAATTATTTTATATATTTTTATCCTCACCTGAGAACATTTTTTCACTGCATTTAGAGAGAGGGGAAGGGAGAGAAACATCGATGCAAGAGAGAAGCTTCCAGACTGGTTGACTCTTGTACATGCCCAGACTGGGGTTGAGACCGGACCGGAAACCGAACTCCAACCTAGGCGTGTGTTCTGACCTGAAATTGAACACACAATCCGTCGATTATGGGACGATGCTTCAACCAACTGAGCCACACCGGCCGGGGCAAAGCTTCTCCTTATAAACTTCATTTGTCAGGAGGTGCTGCCTGAGAAGGCGGCATCACCAGCCTCTTCTCAGACAGAACAGGAGGAGAGTAAAGGACTGGCTGGGGTCTGTTGCACATACCCTGAACTCCAGGAACGGCGTTGTCTCCGCTAGCCCCAGCTGCCTTGTCCTTGGGCTCAAGAAAAGCCTGCACAGGAGTGCAAGTTCAAGAGGGCGCATGCTCGTCTTATGAGCACACGCTTGGACCTTCCGACCTTACCGCTTCTAGGGACCACAAGAAAGGGCTTCCAAGCCAGATCCCGAATTCAATGTCATTTCACTAGCCCAGATCCCCTCAGAAAATGCCACAACGGGGGATAAAACTTTTATATGCTTTATTGATTCAGGGGACTAACAAGGCAGCATTTGGTCAGTTAAGAAAGGCACCTCACTGAAAATACATCACAGTGCTGTCGAGTGGTCCCAGTCACAGGATTTGAGGACAGGAAGGGCGATCTTTGGATGATGTTGCGTAGAACACTTGCTCATTTATTTAAAGGGTCCCGTCACACATCATGGATGAGAGAAGGCGTGGGGCCGTGGCACGTGCTGGGTGGCTGCTGAGTGCTTGCCCATGAGGTCAGATGGACTGGTAAATCACTGGTAAGTCGGGAAGGGAGTGGGACCAGCCTGTCCCACCTTCCCTGTGACTCCTGTAAACTTGATTTGCTGCCGTGAGCACACCCTATATCTCTTTCAAATGCGGAGATTGTTTTTGATCCCATGGCGAGAGGAGCCAGCGTCAGCAGTCCAACCCCTCTGTCCCAAGTCACAGCACAGATGGGACGACAGTTTGATTCCAGCTTCCCTGGGCTGGCAACCCATGGGGTTCTGAGATAAAGGCTGAGGACTCTGGCTTAAAAAAATATTGTCACCAGTCCAGAGTAAATGAGAACTTGATTTCTCAGAAATAGTACTATACCTCCTTATTTCTACTTATATCTTCCAATCAGTCTTTTAAAAAATTAATTCCTCATACTTTTTAAGACTACTACTATAGAGAAAAGAAATCGCTTCACTACAACACTACTGTTCTTCCAGTATTTTTCTCGAGCCCTTCACCACTCTTGACTCTCCGTCCTTACCCTGACCACCCCCGCCCCCCTCTGCCCAGCACCTAAGAGCAGGGATCACGCCGCAGGGTGATGAGCAGTGGTGCAGTCTCGCCTGGCCTTCTGTTACTAGGCTGAAATAGAGAGGAAAACAAGAGAGAACAAAATGGGTTTTTAAAAACCAAGTAAACATCAGAGAAGGCTGGCATGCTCGCCCCAGCAACCAAACGCATTAAACACTGGACATGTCTCTGCCAGGTGAAAGCTCTCATGCTTGCCGAGGTTGAGGCTCTGGAATTAAATGAAGCAAAAATCAACCCCTAACCAGCCCCCAAAAAGGCATATGCATCCCCACGATCTAGTTTTCACCAGCAGTCCAAGTATCACACGCACGCGCGTGTGCGGGTATGCACATGTGACTGTATGTGGCTGGATGACAAATATTTCAGCAAGGATCGTGCACATTCAATTAGCAAACATCTGAGGCCCTCAAATTTGAGGTCAAATGCCTGTAACTGTCAAAGGGGAGTGGACTTGAAGATTCATGAGGCTACCCTCATCCAGAGGAGAATCCCAGATCCCTGCAGATGGAACTGACAGTTTTGGTTTCACTCCCTTCCCTTGTCCATTCCCAGAAGTCATGTGCTTCCCAGAAACACCCCACACCAGACAGGGTGGAGTTAGTTTACAGCCAGGGAAAGGAGGCAGAGCAGAGCCAGCAGACACTCACTTGAACCAGACAAAGAGAGAAGCAAGATGGCCACGTACCCACGCCCAGCTTCCACATGGGCAGAGGACAAGCCCGCTGGTAGTCCCACAGACAGCAGGAGAGCTCAGGCCAGGTGGAGACAGGCACTCTGGAGTCACTGCACTGAGTCAGCAGATTACGCCAGGGCAGGAGGCGTTATTTATTGGACCTGCCACAGATTTTCTAATGGTTTCTCCAGAGGCTGTTGCTTTTGCGACCCCTCACAGCACTCTACTTAATTCATCCGTCTGCCACAAATCAAACCAGAGACCAAAAGGCATAGCACAGAACCCAGGGAATGCTTTATAGCTGGGGAGTGGAGGTTTGGCATAAAAGTTGATTACTGTCACAGTTAATTTTATATTTGGGTGATCTTTTCTCGGGGAGTCTGTGGCCACCACCATCGTGAAGTAAAGGGTGAAGGACTGGGTCTGCAGGGGAGAGGGTTTGGGTTCGAAAGGTCTGTATGTGACTCATGTGAGTTTCATATCCCGGAGAGGGGCTGGGTTTGAATACATGCTAATCAAACCAAGAATAGGTTTCCTTCAAATCTGTTTCGGCCATCCTTGGAATCACAGGCAAATGTTAAAAATAAAAACAAAATCCACTTTGGGGATTGGCTGCTCTCCAATGCCCAGCCTGGATGTTCACAAGATAGCCTGAATTGAAAAGGATCTCTCATCTGGTTTAATTCTTTGGCCACAATTCAGTTTTCAAATACAGGTCCCAAATGATTCCTACTTCACAGAAACGTGATGCAGATCACAAAAATATTCCAACTTGGCTTGGCATTTCCTATGATACCCTTTTCCAGTAATTTCTGGGGTCTGAAATGTAAGTACCCTTTGACTCCCATTTAGGGGGAAAAAATCAATGTTTCCTGTCCATACACTGACTCATGTGGCTTTTCATTGTGGGTTAGGACACAAGTGGAATTCCTTGCCAACAATCTGCCATCAGGAACTTTGGTCCTGCCTGACTACACTTGACCCTGGATTTCTAACCAGCTGCTGGAGACAGAAAAAATACCAGGGGTTTGGGGTACCTGCCAGGTCCCTGAGTTAGTTTATTTTGCTCAAAAAATAAAATCAAGGGTATGTCTGGAGAAGTAAACAGCTGGTAAAGCAACCTTGCCTGTAACTGAGAAAGGAGGAGCATGTACACACACTGACACCAAACCACACACACAGATGAGATGAGAGCTGCCCACACACCAAAGATACATCAAGCAAGTGCTTTTTAATCAGTACATCGAACCACATTCTTGCTGGCCTGAGGAAGCTCCCTTCTGCCTGGTCTGCCATTCCCACCCACTCCCTTGACAAGGACAGGAGGAAGAAAGAAATGCCTTTTTAGATGCAACATTAGATAAACATAACCAGGTCTTTACATGTGGCTTTGGAGAAGGCTGCTAGGATGCTGGCAAACACGACATCAGGGGTCTGGGACGCGTCGATGGTAGAGTGGATCCCCCGTTTCCTGTAGTACTCCACCAGTGGGGTAGTCTGGGTGTGGTAGGACTCCAGGCGGATTTTCAAGGCCTTCTCATTATCATCAGACCGGTGGACCAAGGGCTCCCCGGTGATCTGAGAACAGGAAGAGGACAAGGAAAAGCCGGGACTGTTAGCAAAGGTTTCCTTAGCCAATGCCAGAGGCAGATCTGAGACGCTGTCTGATCCCAAAGTCCATCAGTGGGAAAGACATCGACAACCTAGACCCTCTCCTATAAAGAACTATAAAGAGTTCACCACCCCCAGCAAGCTGGTCCCAGGAGCAGACCAACCGGCCCAGGGAAGTCAGGGAGCCTGAAACAGCAATGCCGAGGGAAGGGGCTTGTGAGAGGAGGACAGGCAATGCTCTTCTCTCAGCTTTTGCTCAGGCTCTTCAGCTTCTAAGACGAACATTTCTAGGTTCGGAAGCAAGAGCGCTAGAGGCCCTAAGACCAGGACAATACATCAAAATCAGAGCTGTAGCAGCAATTATAACCTTAGCTGTCTGAGGACACTGTGTTTTTACTAGGGTGTCAGCCATCAACATTCTGAAAGTAGCAAGTGAAGTGCACAAGAACTCTGAATGGCAGAACTGCTAATTCTGAGAAATGTGACTAAAGTAACACGATGGCTTTGGACCCTGTATGACCTGATGAACTTGTCTCATAGGCAAAGGTAAATCCAGGAAATTCTCATCATTGCCATCATTCTCATCATTGCACCATTTCGTATGCTCTAAACATACGAAAGACTATTTATGGCAAATGTTACAGTGAACATGCATGAGCCCCTCCCTTTCACACCTGCAAACTACTGAAGACTGCCATAAAAATTTGGCGATGTTAATCTAGCCAAAAATATTCTGAATTTGTAGGGCACAGCAGAGTCACTAGAGAGAGAGGACATTCTTCCGAGGCAGGTCAACAAACTTCTCTCTGGCACTATCTTCTCCACCCTGGTTCTAATTCTCAGCTTCCGGCAATCTTCTCTTGACTAGTTGACCGTTTAGGTTACCATGTCGTCAGAAAGGTGCTGCTCTGGACAAAAGACAGGTATAAACCAGGCAATGGGATGTAGCTGGCACTGGCAGCACCTCAAGGTCAAGCAATAAGCCACCTGGAGAGACACTATATAGATGAGCCACAGCCCATGTGATTTACATGATAGTTCTATTTCTCATGGTTAAGTTAGTAATACTGGCAGGATAAAGGGGAGATGGAAAAACAAAGAAAGCAAAAGAAGGGGAAGGGAAGGAAAGGAAATTTCCTGGTCTGATTCTACATACATCATCTTTCATGGGCTCCTTTGGGGGGTTGAACTCCTCGTGGTAGGAACGGCCACTCACGGGGTGAATCAGCCTGAAAGATAGCAAATGAACACAAGTCAGGTGGCCTGAACATATCCCAACCCACAGCAGTTTCCAAGATGACAAGCAGAGACAGAGAAGCTGGACGCAAGGACCTTAACCTAGCAGAGAACATAGCTATAGGCACCTCATGCTTAAGATAACCGGGCTTGTGCATGAGTATGTTTTCTATTTTGACCCAACATTAAATATGGGTCTGGCTGAAGAGGCTGGCATAACGACCTAATTCAGGACTTCAAAGAGGACCTCTGGTACTGGTCTCACACAGCCATTCATTCTACTCACCCATTTACTCAACAAGCATTCACTAGTGCCTAGTCCGGTTCAGGCCTTACACGGAGTCCAGGGGCTGCAGAGCAATGAGCCAAGTTCCCTGCTTGCAGAAATGCTTAATTGAGTGAGGGAGACAAACGTGGAGATAAATAGCTACGATAAACCTGATAACCCTTTAACAGAGGTTTGTATAAAATGCTACGGGGGACAGAGGACAGAGAAACCAACCTGAATTTCTAATCTTGCTTGGTTATAAATCCAGAAAGGTGCTATTGGAAAAACATGTCCTGTGGATGCAAACACCACCAGACGATGCAGTACCCGTTTTTGATTGCATACAGAACAGGTGGCAAACACAAGGCCCACGGGCCAAATCTGGCCTGGCACCTTGTTTCTACTCGGCGGCAGCACCGAGCTCCGGCTTAACTGTTAAGGAGTACTTACATTTATACAGTCCTAACATTACATTCGGCCCTTTGAAGGCAACTGTGAGGCTGATGTGGCCCCCAGAGAAAGTGAGTTTGACACCCTTGAGATAAAAGAGAGCCCAACCACTAAAGGGCAATACTCAAGGTGATGGGAAGGTCATGGAACAAGGAGCCCAATAAGAAGCACTTACTTGGTACTGAATACGTAGCTGGTAGCCACATTGGTGTTGTGCCCCCTTCAGCAACAAGCCTGTGTTCCCGACTGGACGAGGCCACGCCACAGGAGACCAGAAACGTACGAAGGGAAGCAGGCAGGCCCAACACAGCTCAGCAGCCAGGGCTCACTTGCTCAGGTTTATGTGGTTTCCCAATCCCATGCCAACCAAGGTCTGCCTATGTAACTGACCGCAGCTCTCAGGGTCTATTAGGCCAGAGCATTCCAACATTTTTCACCTCTTTGTAAGCACAGAAACACAGTACTCAAGGTTCTTGCTCCTCTAGGCCTGCCCAGCTGCTTTGACGGTTGAAGGAATCAATGTCTCAGCTCATCAGCTAGGAAAGTCTGCGTCAGACCATCAAAGCCACAACTGAGTAAAATGTGATGTGTTTTAATGACAGTGCATTTTTCAGGGGTCAAGTGGTCCGTTTATAGCAAAGGTGGGTTCATTTACAGCCCCGGAGAGAGGGGTGAGGTGACGGCAGAGGAAACTAGCTGCATCAAGTGGGCCTGTGACTGTAAGCGTGTAACGTGAGGATGGGCCCTCCTTTATTTCGGCTGTTGGGGGCGCTCATCTGGTGCACCACTGGGCGACCCGGGGACAGGAAGAGTGGAGGCCATTCGACTCAGCTATAGCCTTCCCTTTGGGAAGGGTGGGGCCGTGAGATGGGGGCTCTGTTTCTTCACTTTCTGGACAGCACAGTGCACATAGCAGCCAGATGGCAATAAACTTGACTCCCTCCTCTTCACTTCTCCACAGCTCTTGCTCACTCCCAGATTCCCTCAGCCCTCCAGTTATACACAAGAGTGCTCCTTCCCTGTTCACAAACATCATTTTAAGAGGAATGCAAGGCTCATTCCTTAAAAGGAAAGGAAAAGAAAGAAAGCCCAATCTCCAAGTTCTCAAAATGGAATTGGTCTTAAGTACCAACCAAAACAGCTCTGTGAGTCACTGAGCCTGGCCTGGAGGCGGAGGTGAGGATGTGGCGGGATAAGGGCCAGGAATCTATGGCCACTGCTACCTTGACTGCGACACTTCAGACACCTGTATTCTCACCCACAAAATGGGGATGAGACATCAGGCTAATGATACCAGAGAACCAACTGGTAAAATAATTAGGATACTAGAGAGTCAACACTGAATAAGTTAAAACCCCAAATCACCAACCATACTTATTCAAGAAATAAAATAATGACTCAAATTTATCAGAAGTGATAGCTGAGCTAATTCAGAAGATATCTACAGTGGGGTCCTTACCATGTCAGGTTTAAATAAGAACCAATTAAACTGCTGGTTCCTGACTTTTATTGCCAACATTGTGGACCAGGAGGTAGAAAGCAGGCTTCTGGTGTCAGTCCTGTCGCTGATCTGCAGAGTGAACTTGGACAACACCAGTCTGGCTGTCCCATTTCCTCCACCGCGAGGGAGGGGGGTCACACTAAACCACTCACTTCCAAACCGAGAGACTGGGTCTTCTCTGGTCCGCCCTCTACAGCAACCCTGCACCTTGTTCTTCAGGATCTCCGTTCCCTACCAGCCAGCCCCAGCTAGTCTCCATCACTCCACGTGGGGGTCAAGCAGGCTGCTGGGTGGGGTCCTTGTCTGTTTCTCCTTTCCCCCAGTTTAGCCTGTATGCCGGGACCAAGCTAGTGTTCCTAGAATATCGTTTTTGCTACAACACTTAGTGGCTTAACAACATGCCAAGATTCCTGACTTTGCTGTCTCTGTCCTCCTCACCGTGGCAGGCCTGCCCCAGTCTAGCTCCCATCCTACCTTCCCAACAGCTCTCATTCTACTCCCAGTCCCGCAACGGGTCCCCCAGCTCCGGACAGACGTCCTGCCACTAGCCCCGGCTAGGACCCTTCCCCCAACCAACATTCATTCTGCCCTTTACTCCCTTCTGGGAAAGCCACCAAATTCCTCTCTATCCAGGAAGGTCAAGTTTGACATTACACCTCTCCTAGGCGGCCTTCCCTCTCTCCCCCAGACCCTCTTCTTGGACTTCCCACTGCACAAAACAGCCCAGGTGTCGTGTAAACTCTCTGAGGTCAGAGATGGGCGTCATATTGTTCTTCTATATCCTCTCCTGCTCCCTGCCCCAGAGCCCAGGACCGTGCTGGGCACAAAGCAGGTCTTTAGGAAGTGGCTAATTGAATCAAAGGCCCCCAGTGTCACCGAGTACTGCTAACATCTGCTGTGCACACCAGGGCCCCCCATCCTGGTGACGTCCCGCCCAGTCAATCCTATTGCTTCTTGGCCCACATCAACTCTGTCTACCCTGTGCCAGTGGGGACGCAAAGAAATAGCAGTTCCTGCACCGAAGGAGCTAGAAACACAAAACCTAGACATCTGAAAAGAGAATTAACGTAAGATGATCACACTGCATCTAACAGAGCCATATAGGAAGACGTCTCTAATACTCCCTCTTTGGTCTGTTGACAAGCCCGCCTCTCTCCCTGCGATACGGACGGCAAAAATGTTCAACTTCATCAGGAAATTAAAGTACCACAATTTACAATAAGAAAGCAGTTTTCTCCTAATTAAATCCAAAATTTTACATGTACTGTGATGGTCACAGCATCAATCTGACCGTGAACACCTGGAGGAAACTCGGATGCACAACAAAAGTGGAACAATTAAGTGCACAATGGTTCATCTGTGAAATACAATACAGCAATTAAATACGGCGGTCACAGAGGTCTGGGTCCTAGGCTGACTACTTTCACGAGATCCATGAAAATAACGCGGGAACAAAAAAAGCTAAAGCGCACATTGAAAAAGAGATTGTGGGGACCTACTGGTGGCTGAGAGCTTTCAGCCCAGTCCCGAAAGGCACAGAGCTGACGCGGAGTGAAGAGTAGAAGAGGGCGGAGGAGACACGCCCGAAGCAGCGGCGATCTTTCGGAACACACTTGTTCAGATGCAGAAGCATTTCTGTGTTCAGTGTTGACTACTATAGAGAAACAAGCACTTTGTTTTACTTTATTTATTTATTTTTTTAAAGAGAGGAAGAGAAACCTCAACGTGTGGTTGCCTCTTGTGAACCCCCTACTGGGGACCTGGCCTGCAAACCAGGCACGTGCCTGACTGGGAATTGAACTTGCGACCCCTTGGTTCACAGGCCTGCGGCTCAATCCACCGAGCTACACCAGCCTATTTTATTTTATTTTTTTAAATATTTTATTTATTCATTTTTAGAAAGAGGGGGAGGGAGGAAGAAAGGGAGAGAAACATTGATGTACAAGAGAAACATTGATTGGCTGCCTCTCACACACCCCAACAAGGAACCTGGCCTGCAACCCAGGCATGTGCCCTAACCGGGAAATGAACCGGTGACCTTTCGGTTTGTGGCACATCACCCAACCCACGAGCCACACCAGCCAGGGATAGATACAAACACTTTAAAACAAAACACACAAAAACCCCACAGTGGTTGTGGCTAAGGTGGCTGTAGCATGAGCAAATTTTCTTTCATTTTCTAAACTTGGTATAGATTGTCATATTATTTTTATAACAAAAAGCCTACAGCAAGATAATGGCAACTCCAACTTAAATCAGATTTTTAAAAGCACTAAAACAGAAGTACACAACAATAAAAATAGAAAAAAACATATAAAAACAGTGGTACACACATAAAGAAGTTACCATTTCTTACGCACATACAATACACCAGGCTCTGAATGACACAGGTGTTATCTAACCTGCAGAACAGTTCTGCAAACAGGTATTAGAACCCTCTTCCAAATACGAGGAACCAGCACTTGCCGAGAGTCAGAGCAGAAGGGTGACAGGCCTGACAGGCTGACTCCAAATCCCTGGCTCTTCTTTCCACATCCCCATCCATGTCACCACTTCAGCAGATGTCACCAGCAAAATTAATCCACGTTGAAATGGCACTAAGCTTCATGATTAGGACTAGGTCTGACTAATCCCTGAAGAAGCAGGAAAAGAAGGGACCTTCTGGGGACAAATACCTTCCTGTGATTCTCCGGATCAGCAGTGAGTCTGGGATGCGGAACTCGATCACAGAATCAAGCTTCTCTTTCCTCTTCTCCATGAGGTTGTCAAGCTGTAAAAGAGTATGTGTCCCACCTAAGCTACCAAAGCTTGACCAGACCCACTTTCCTCAAAGGAATTAAGAGATTAAGGGCCAGAGTTCATTACCAAGCAATGGCGACACAAAACCGACCTACTCACCATTTCTGCCTGCCTCACGGTCCTAGGGAAGCCATCTAGAAGAAAACCATTTTTGCACGGAGGGGTGTCCAAATTCTTCTCAATGAGCTCCACTACCATTTCATCACTCACCTGGAAGTCAAGAACAAAACAGCCTTGGGTTTAAATACATTAACTGGGTGACATTTAACCCAACTCCCTGGTCACAAGTTGGTGTCCATACAACCTGACTGCTGCAGGAGACAGTGGCGGTTAACTGGACTGTGGAAACCTCCTCACTTTCCCTGTTTAACAATTTTGATTAGGCTCACAGTGGAGGGACCCAGGCCACCCTGGACAGGAGGCAACAGAGAAGTTCACTGAATAGGCAAGACAGGATTAGAACCGAGGAACTCAGGAGCGAGCCCAACACACTCTGAGCCTCTCTGAAAACCCCAAATGAGGGCCCTTCCCAGCTTTCAAAAACTGGTTTCCTCTGGGCCTTCAGAGAAAAAAAGTTCCCTGCAAATGTTACAGGGAAGGCTGCCCGTCTCGGCAGCTAATGCGTTTATCTCCTGGGACCAGCTGCAAACGTGGGGGCAAAGTATAAGCTCTGCAACTAAGTGAAGACTGGAGATAAGTAATCTCATTGCCACATCCCAACTTTTTCTCAGTACAGGATCTTTTGCCAAGACCCAAAGTCCAGGATATCTAGCTCTCTGGCCTGACTCAAGGCCTCGCTGACATGAAGGGAAAGCTGGAGGAAAAGGGCAGGTGGGCGGGCAGACAGGGGTACCGTTCCACACAGGCACTGAATGCAAAGCCTGCCGGGAAGGACTCATTCAGGAATGGAGGCAAAGCCCAGCACCTTCCTTAGCCAGCATGCTAAGTAAGTTATAAAAAGGCCAGAGGGCCAAACAAAAATATGACTTCTAAAGGCAATTTGCAGAGGCCAAGTCCCAGAATAACTCAGTTACAATTAAGTTCTGGCACTAATCAAAGAAGATTTAGTAGATAATAGATTGCATTTGTTTAATCAGATTAACTGGACTAGGAACTAGAGAAAATACTATTATATCCCCCAAATAGGAAGGATTACATCTGTCAAAAGCAATTCCCGTTAGAGACACAGAACAGAGTCACAAAAGAAGTTCGCAAACACTCTGCGGCTCCTTGGGTTCTCTCTTTGGCACATCCTTGAGTTTTTGCCTCGGGAATGCAGTTTCATTTTTGACCCTAAAAATCGGGTATAATACTCAATACGTCAGCACAAAGGGATCTCAAGAATACTATGAATAAATTACATGACATAAATTCAGAATGGACCAAGTAACCTGCTACTCTGAAGTTCATGTCATGTGCCAGTTTGTTAAAACACCCCGTAGCACAGGGCCGGCCAATAGAACTCCCTATGAGAATGGGAATATGCTAAGCCTGAGCCTTGGGCACACAATTGAAATGTGGCAAGTGCAACCGAGGAACTGAAGTTCATTCCAGTAGCTCCACGTGGCCACCCTTCTGGGCAGTGCGGGTCCAGACTCCGAGGAACATCCACACGTACTGGCACCACCACACCTACCAGTTTCCCGGCATCCATGGTTGCCTTCAGCTTTTTTCCCAGCTCTGAGCCAGAAGCCACCATGGCCCTCAGCATGTCCCCGGTGGCCAGATGGCAGACACAGAAGTTTTGGGCCAACTTGGGTGCCTGTGGAGGGGAAAAAAAACCCCAAAATACAGTTATCACTGCAGGCCCTGGAGTCAGACTTCCTGGGTATGAACCTGGCATTGCCACTTATTGGCTGTGTGAATTTTGGCAAATGCCTATTTCCTTACCTGTAACAGGGATAAAAGTACTTTAATTATATTCTAACATACAACAATTACAAAATTATAAGAATGACATAATACATGTGAAGCACCTAGCATGCAGGAAGCCGTCCTATTAGCTGTTTCCCCTACTTCCACTACACACATCAGTGACACATGAGCCTCAGTTTCCCCATTATAAAAGGGATGAATAAAAAAAGCAGCATCAATACTTCATATGGTTGCTGTGAAGTTTGAGTGCATGTATGTGAAGCACAATGCCTGGCATGTAATGTGTTGAATGAATATTTGTGAAAGGATTGAATGTGAGATTGTCAAGTGCTGTGGCCAGTGGCCTGAGAGGCAGAAGGGGCAAGGTGAAGAACAGAGGTTTCCCCCTGGCAGACAGTTCTTCTTCCCCATCCCTCAATAGCTGCATTATCTGGGCCAAATCCCTTAACCTTGCAGAAGCTCGGTTTCCTCATCTGTTTCAAATGAAGGCAAAAAGGCTCCATCAAGGAAGGCAGCTGTGAGGATCAGATGGGATGTATGTGAAGAGTGCCTGGCAAACAGTAAGCACTTACTATTAGTTTGAAGAAGCAGTATAGCCTTTTCGTTAAGAGCATCAGACTTGAGAATCAAACAGCCTGGGTTTCAGACTTCAGGTCTACCAATGACTAGATAGATATGTGACTTGAGAAAAACTGTATTACCTTTCAAAGTTTCAAATTTCCTCTAAGTAACATGGAGATGGTAATGGTAGCTACACCTCTGAGTTGATCTGATTACACAGGATTCCATCTAGGCAGGGCCAGGCACATAGTAAGTGCTCAGTGAACACTAGCTGTTGCTGTAACCTCTGCCCTAAGTCCACATTCATTCATACAGAAATGAATTTACTCATTCATCATACTGATGTCACTTCCGAGAACTCTCCTGGGAGCCAGGCAAACAGATCAATAGGAGACGGAGACCCTGTCCTCTCTGAGCTCACACTTTGGTGGACTATACATCAGAGTGAAGACTAGAACAAGAAGAAACCCTGGACAATTCAACACTGGTTTTGTACCTGTAATCTCCCACCCCCAAAACAAACAAAAAGACCATAGAACTCATGAGGCACAGAATCAGTTCAAGGACCTTAATACTTAGCTTCCTGGCTCACTTGTTTTATTAAAAAAGGAGGGTTGGATCCTTGTTCAAACCAGTTCTTTGGAAGTTTTCTTAGGTACACACAGTAAAAACTTAATAGATGGGGCTCAGTCCAGCAAATTCTGGCTTGTGATCCATGGAATGATTCAGTTCAAGCAAAGAAATGACTTTAAGCAAAACAGCACACATAAGAGAAGGCCTTACAAAGTTTGGAGGGCCAATGAAGGTCAGGAGTCTGGCAGTGGCAAACCTTCCAGTTCTGCAGACTGGCCCAGGGGCCACGTACCCAGGGAACTGTGCTTTTCTGCCAGTCTTTCTCTTTGGTGAAATTAACTTGGGTGAAAGATTTGGAGGTCATGCTTGCTCAAGGGGAAAGGCTGGCCAAAGCACCAGAGAAGAAGTGCTGTTAGCAGCACAGAACCTAAGTATTCTATTCGAATCCCCACCAAACCACAGCACTCTTCCAGGTGACTGGATTCTATAGCTACATGGAAGAATGCTCCAACAGAGAAGATGTGGCGTGGCAGAAGACTAACTCTTCATTCCCTGCTGGCTGCAAGGGAGTCAGTGTGATGGGTTGCACGGAGCTCAGACTTTGGAGATTTGCCCATATACCTCCTGGTCAAGTTCTCAATAGATGCGTGACTTTGAGCTAGTTACTCAGCTTCTCAGAATCTCAGTTTCCGCAACAGCCAAGTGGGATAACCTCTACTTCTTAGAGCTGTTGTGAGGATAAAATGCCTCTTAACTTACCATGTAACCTTAGGCCACAGACTCTTTGAGGCTATTTCCTCATCTGTAAATTGGGGATATTATTACCAAATTCACTGGGTGGGTAGGAGGAAGAAACAAAGGCTGTTAACAAATTATCATTCTTGATCTAATCGTGAAAACCCTAGCATTTGTCAGAGTCACTTACTGGCCACTTCCCACTGGCATTTTTGCACTTTTATGTATTGTTCCCATTCAGTTCACTTCTGCCTCTATACCTAGATTAACAGCAACAATGTAAGGATGGTGACTGCTACTCAAGAATCAGTCATGAGTTCAAATCTTGCCTTTGCTACTTCATGTGAATTCTGGGACAAGATACAGCCTCTGGGCTTCAATTTACCAGTAAAAAGGTATGGATAACAGGACCTACCGCCTAGGACTCCAGGCTTAAATAAGAGGATGCAAGTAAAGTCTTTGGCTGGGCATCTGTTACATAATTGAGCAAAGGGTAACTATTTTGCACATTACATCCCCTCCTCTAGGGCAAGGGCTACCCTCTGCATCTCCAGCACCTTAACTTATCCAGCAAAACGTGCACATGGTAGGAGAAAAATCTAACTTAGGGCAGCAGATAGCAGCAGGAAGAGCGGGAGCTTTGGAGTCATTCAGGTGCAAGGTCTGCCAATTACTTTATATGTAACCTAGAAAACAAGCCCTCTGAACTTGAGTTTGTAGCTGTAAAAGGGGAATGAGAGTGTGGGTCTTACAACGTTGAGAGTCACTGCACTGACATAACTGACAAAGCCCCACCTGCAAGATGGCAGTGATTGCCTGCGTGTACCTGGCCTTGAATTGGTATAGACTGGACACGTGAAAGAAAATGTGAAAGAGCTGGCAGATAAAACACAGAAGCAAACCTAAGTTTTGGCCATGCTGTAGGTACATACAACCCCAAAAGGAGAAGGAACTAAGGTCATTTAAATAACAAACCCAGGTATTCTGTGTTGGGAACTGCCCTGCCTGGTTTCAAAAGGTGTAACCCCCCCCCATGGCTAAGGCTGAGTAAAAAGACCTTGGGATCATAAGCCACTAAGGAGACAAAGCTTTTCCTCCCAGCAGGGGTGTAGCCTCTGCCCCCTTTACTTCACCCTGTTTGGCCCCTGCGGTTCATTGGTTAAACTGGTTAGGCAATGATGGGTAAGATTCCTCAAGGGAGGGACAACTTAAGACAGACATGGTTGTGACTGGGCCATTAGGGAAGGACTTAGGGGACTAAGAAAAGGGGTGATGGACCCTCACCACTCGGCTTTGACACAGCCTGAGTTCTCATTCTATCTGTAAAAAGTCTCCTAATCTCTTGGCTGCCGGCATCCCCCACCTGACTTAAGCCTGAAACAATGCTGGAGGTGGGTGCAGCCCTGTGCTGGAAAGGGCAGTTTTCCGGGGGCATCAGGCCTAAGAAAGAATGCATAAAATCCTATGAAACCTGCTTTGCTAAGAATATCCTCAATTTAAATAAGGGTCCAAGCATAAAATGAGTTTGTTTCCTAAAGTTTCTGGCGCTTTGTATCTGACCCTGACTCAGAATAAGCCCTTGTAGTTCTTTGAATGTTATATATTGTTTGATCATTACTGCCTGACAATGACTGATGAATTTTATGCCCTGTATTCCTATGCAAATTAAACCCAATAAAAGCCCATTGAGGAACAGGCTCAAGGCCCCTCCCCTCTGAGAGATCAGCCACCTTTCCTCCCCAAGCAGATCATGTTTTAGTAGACTTATTCTCATCCACTGCAGTTGGGGGAGCTCTGCAGGCAGAGCACCATCCCCGTCCCCCCACCAATTCTGGACATTTTAAACATCATTATGTTGATGAAAAACCAGTTTTAAAATGTTTAAACATTTCCAGTTAATGATTAGAAGTTTTAATAGGAAACAGATTTTATTTCAGTAACACCAACATAAAATACTGAGTTATGCAGGTAAAAAAAAAGACATATTAGTGGGAAGAAATCCAACATCACTGAGCAGGTACTAGGCACTAACCTAGGTTAGGGATTTTACATCAAAGATTGCGAACATTTACCAATAGGGGCAGACAGGCAATGCAAATGAATGACGTTGGTCAAATGGAAGCAGCAGGCATCCAAGAGCGCCATGCAGGGTACAGGAGGGCACATCTACAGTGGCCTTGCCACTCAATTGCATGGTAGGCCAGAATGGAGGCCCAGAGCCATCAGATGTGACTTCTCAAGAGAAACTGGGGCTCAGCATGTGTAAGTGAAATTTCACAACTGAAAACTGTGTGGTCACCTTATTGTTTTGAAAGCTGACAAATAAAAGGAACAAATCAAGCATTTATCCTGACTTTTCTACATAAACCATGACAAACAGCAGATGAAAGTTTCTCTTTATAGAAATGGTTCGGCTAACAAACAAAAAGAGAATGATATAATTAGAACACCACCATTGTGCTACCCGCCATGAACTCCTGGACCAGGCGCTGAACACCGGGGACAAGCGGGCCTGATGTGCCTCCTCATGGACAGCACCGCACCACCTGCGACTCGGGCCAGGGAATTGAACTCAGCTCTGTTAAGTGTCTGATCAATCTCCCAGTTTACAGGAAAGAGAGGAAAGGGGAAGATGTTAAATATGCCATGGAGATACAATAAAAAATTCCCAGAAAGAGGGACACAATCAGGACAAACGACCCAGTCACACACACACACAAGCTATGGGACAGCTGTAAATTAAGAGACTTACAGCGGTCACATTTGTGAGACAAAGGGAAATATGAACCCTATTATAAATTGTTAATTCATTAGGGGATATTGTGCTTGTTTACAAAAAAAAAAAGAATTTATCTTTTATTGAGCGATACCCACTGAAATATTCACAAATGAAATGTTACAATGTCTGAGTGCTGCTTTAAACTAATTTGCGAAGGGGGAGTGAATGAGGAAGGAACGGGAACAGCTGATGCTGGCAGGAGCTGGGTAACAGGTATTCGGGGCTCCTCACATCGCCCACCTTCTTTCGTGCCTTCAAACTCTTCATCATAAAGTGAGGGAGCCTTTGCAAGCAAAGTGCTGCTGTAGGCTGCCTCTTTGTAACCTGATTTATGAACACTTCTTTCTTTATTTAACTCCATCAAACTGCCATCTCCAGTATTCCTATTGCCCCCAGTATTAAAAGCTGTATTGAGGTTAAGTGATTTGTATAAATCTTACCCTTTCTTCAAGTCTCAGCTCTAATCACATCTCCTCCACTTCCACAAAGCCTCTGACCAGCTCCTACCATACCCACATTTTTATAAGTCAGCAGATAATTTTCTTCAAATCTTCCTGACTACATCACCCTTTACACTGAAATAGATATAAGTTGGTGCGGGGGTGATGGGAGATGGAGATGCATTACTAAGATGAGGGACTCGATCATTATTGAACACCTACTATGTGCCAGGTTGTTCCCTAGATTCCTACAGGTGCTTTACACACATATATGACATTATCTTCCAAAACCTGATGAACTCTGGGTCTGCATGGGCACTGCTTTATCTGAATGCATAAGGTGGAGGACTACCTTACCTTGCATGAGTAAGGCAGGGGACCTATTTTTCAGGTGAGAACACTGAGGTTTGGAAGTTACAAAGTTCGCTAGACTGTATAAAGCCATTGTCCCAGCACTGGCTGGCTTGTTCGTTTTCCAACTACTGAAAGTATCAGCTTCACTATGAACTAAGAAAAAATAATCAATGCCTTTTAACTACCCCGTTTACACTCACAGCAGAAGCCTGCCAAGTCTAAGGAAGCCCACAGGTTACCTAATAACTGAGGGTGGTAGCAACAGGAAAGAGACTCAGTGTTACCGAGGACAGGGGGATTATGTAACAGTGAGCTCCAAAGAAGAATCAGCTCAGGCTAAAGAGAATAAAGGGTAAGTAAGTGGTCCTTCCTGACCTTGTGCCCAGAGGTAAAAAGCAAAACTGCAGGAATAAACTGAACCTTCCAGACATCCTTTCCCACCATCCACATGAATCTGTATCCATCCATTTCCAGTAATCCCAACAAGTGTCAAGTGATGTGCTGGGTGCCCCAAGATGGTCTGTTTGCCAACACTTTGCAGTCTTCACAAGTGTAGGAAGAGCAGAGTGGGCGGTCCCCAGAACCCCATTCACTTGGCAGCTCAGACTTTCAAGAATTCCCTCTTTGGAATCTAACACGCAGGAGCCTGGGGCCTGGGGGCAATGCCAGGCCCAAGGCAGGAAGAGTTGCTGATCCAACCTATGGATTTACAAATCCCAGCCTTAATCTATGGGCCCATTCCATCCCAGACACCAAGTGAGGTCCCACTGTCTGCTAGTGAAGGAGGTACCTTCAGACTCCAATTACTTGGAGCCCGTGTCTCTTGAGGTTCCAGGCTCCACTGAGTCAATTTTGCTAACTTGGGAAAGCCACCTGACTTCCTGGGCCTATTTTCTGAACTGTAGATTTAGGTACCCACCCCGCACCACTCCCCACTTAACTGGCTCATGCAGGTCATACTTCACTTCTCTTAGCAGTAGTTTATCTTAGCAGTATTGTACTAATCAGCACATGTCAGCTTTCACTCTGCTCCACGCGCTGGAGACGCTCCGCCACGTTTAGTCATTAATCATTGTAAGAAACGCTCCCCTACCCTGAGTGCCTGGACGAAACCCCGAGCAGTTCTCTCCCAAATCGCACGGAATCTGGGATTCCTGCCGTCACTCAAGCTGTAATCTATATGTCTCAGCCCAGTGCTCACCCTACCCTTCAAAACCCTCAGCTTCTAACTCCTTAAGAGATCTAATCAGTCCTTAGATCTCCTAACATGACACCTCAAGCTTGGATCCCTCCAGAACTTTAATCCTAACTAACACTTCCACGAACTCCAATTTCGACCCTTCCCCAAACGCCTCGCCAGAACCCCAGACGCCGGCCAGGGCACCGCAGGCAACAGCCCGCGGCGCCGCTCTGGGGCGGTCCGGAACTCCAGCCGCCCTGACCTTGGAGTTCCGTGGGCTCCGCCGTCACGCCCGGCCCTACAGCTCACCTGGGTACCCTTTCCGGCCCCGGGCGGCCCCAGCAGCACGGCCCGGATGCCTTTAGGAGTCTCTGGGGCCGGTTCGGCCGCGGGTACGTTGGGAGCCATGGCCGCCGAAGCCTCTCTCTGCTTAATCCGCTTACACACCTTTCAGGTCCACGGCTTCCAGGCCACCGCGCCACGCACAGACGCAAGCCCCGCTCCCCGCCCACACTGGTTCCTTGCCACGTCTGTCAGTCCCCTTTTCCCGCCCCTGAGCGCGACGGACACCTGAACTTACCAACCACGAGGCGGGAGTAAGGAAGGGGTGGGTCAACGTAAACTGGGGTGGAGGTGGGGCTCCTGCGGATGTGCGGAGTGGGCGGGGTGGGCGGAGTAGGCGGGAAAAGGTGAAAGCAGACCAGAGGGCCTCTGGGAGTTCTGCTTACGCTTTTTGACAGTTAATGACACCGACAACTCCGGCGATCCAGCTGAAATTGCCCGTGAGAGTGTAAATAGGTGAAATCAGTTTTCGTAACAAATTGGCACTATGTATCAAATATCTTTTGGTCCGGCAATTCCACTTCCAAGAATTTAAAGGACGTAACCAAGGATATGTGTAAAGATTTGTGTAACAAAGATATTAACTGTAGCATTTATAACAGCCCAAAAGTCCCAAACAAACAAACCAAAAAAACCAAAGGTGATATCCCAAATGTTCAACGATAAGAGATTGTTTAAATAAATGGTAAAAAAATTTGTATACTCGAATCCCCCCCACCCCGCCCCTGACAAGATACTTAATCACACAGGATGTTCACCAAACAAGATATACAATTGCAGTTACAACAAAACCCCAATTGTGTTTGGTAGCTACAAGTGATAGTCTCTGTATAGCGTCATTACATAAGCTTCTCCCCTTCTTAGTGCATTTTTTAATTTCCAATAAGTTCTCTAATGAATTCTGTAATAAGCAGTTATTACTTTTGAAATAAGCAAATGACTTTTTTAAGTCAGGAAAAGGTAGTTTTTTCTCAAAAGAGATGACTTTTCTTGGACAGGGAAATAATTTCTATAGCTTTTTGTGTGTGAAAGTTTCATCCACACCCCCTCTGAAGCAAGCCCTGGATCCCTGGCAGGCCAGCCCCAAGGGCCCCTCTGAACCTCCAGTCCAGAGTGTGATTATGAAACAATTGTGTTTCCTCACAGGCTCAGAGTAACTCATTTCCCACATCCTGGTAATGCATTTGCTAGCACTTTAGCTTGATCTCTTCTATTTCACCTCACAAAAGAAGTTAACTTCATTCTTCATCTCCACCCTGGACCTCTATAAGGTGTGCCTGACCTTGAAGGAGACAGGACTTGTTATGCCAATTTTTCAGGAAGACATGCAGTGACCAGCCCAAAGCCACACAGTAGCAGAGTCACAAGCCTGGGAACAAAAGGGTGGGGCCTTGGCAAGTACAGGGTTCATGGGGGTGAGGGTGAGGGTGGGAAAGCAGGCATATATTGGCTGAAGGAAGCTGCTATGTGGCCAAAATGCACTCCAATCCAAGAAGACCAGAGTTTATCAAGGATTTCCCAGGGCACTAGGCAAGGGGCCTAGGAGCAGCCTATCCTTTCTACCAGTGATCCCTACAGTGATACTTACCAGCCATGGATCCCCGAGGAAAAAAGCAACTAAGAGTATACATAAATATACACAGTGTAAGGTTTATTTCTTCAGGTTTTTAAAATGCTCTAGGCTTTGGGGCATACTAAGGACCATAAAGGGAATATTGAGAGCCCAGGAAAAGGAGGAAGTACTGCATTCATCTTCCACTCAACTACTAATGTTTTAAAGATTTAATTAATTAATTAATTTTTAATTAATTAAAATTAGTTAAAGGGGAAGGGAAGGAGAAAGAAAGGGTGAGAAATATCGATATGAGAGAGAAACATCGCTCAGTTGCCTCTCATACATGCCAATCCAGGCATGTGCCCTGACCAGGAATCGAACAAGCGACCTTTCACTTTGTGGGACAATGCCCAACCAACTGAGCCACACCAGTCAGGGTTCAACTATTTTTTTAAAAGCTTTTATTTATTCATTTATAGAGAGAGGGGAAGAGAAGGAGAAAGAGAGGGAGAGAAACATTGATGTGCAAGAGGAACATCTCAATTTCTTGCCTCTCATACATTCCCAACCAGGGACCTGACCCACAACACATGCATGCACCTTGACCAGGAATCGAACTGGCAATCTTTTGGTTCGCAGGCCAGTGCCCAATCCACTGAGCCAGACCAGCCAGGGCTCCATTATTAATTTTTTTAATAATAATTGCTATCATCTACCTAATATTAGGTACTGCCTACCAGCACTGTGCTAAGCACTTTGCATGCATTGTCTCACTTAATTCTCACAGCAAACTAACTAAACATGAGGCAACTTCTTTATGATCTGCATTTTTGGGGGAAAAAAAAGAGAGAGAGAGAGAAATGATAGGCACAGATTGGTTAGCCTGTGGCTGACTCAGGTCTGTCTGACTGACCTCCCGCAAAGATGTCCACATCTTAATCCCTGGAACTTCTGACCAGGTTACCTTACGTGGCAAAAGGGACTTTGCAGATATGATTAAGTAAGGATTTTGAGATGGAGAGATTATCCTGGATTATCTGGATGGGCCCAATATAATCACAAAGGTCCTATAAGGATGTGAGGAAAGCAGGAGAGACAGAGGAGATGGGATGACAGAAACGGAGCTAGGAGTAGTGGGATTGCTGGCTGGGGACCACAAATCAAGAAATGATGGCAGCTTCTGCAGCAGGAAAGGCTAGGAAACATTCTCTGCTAAAGCCTCCGGAAGGAACACGCCTTGATTTCAGCCCCATAAAACCCATTTTGGACTTTTGACCCCTGGAATTGTAAGATAAATTTGTGTTGTTCTAAGCCACCAAATGTGTCGTGATTTGTTACAGCAGCAATAAGAAACTAATACATGTTGTTTGGATGCAAGCAAGCTAGGAATTCACTGGGAGGGCACAGTTGTACAACAGCGGCCTTAGCAATGATAGGGGCCAGGGGTGCTTTCCTAATCCAGATATCAGGACAGTGTAAGGGGAATTTTTGTTCCCTCCTCCAGATTTTTCCATGTGGAGGGACCTCTTTTAGAGTAACACTCTTGCCTCACCCCCTCACCCATCTATCCTCCCCAGAGAAGAAGAGGAGTGACTTATTTGACTGGCGAGTTTGGGGAAAATCAATGGAGCTCAACCCAGCTTTTCTTCCCTCTTTCTCTTTTAGACTGGCTTGGTCACAAAAACCATGTTTTTTGCCCTTTCCTTCCATGCTCTACATTTCCCAGGATCCTTACAGGGAAGATTTTCCAGTGCTTCCTGGGACTAGGTGGAGAAGATTAACTTTGGGGTTCAGTGTAAGTAAGCTCACTTATCTATCAGACCTACAGATATATCTCCAACTGCTTTGTTAGAAGTCGAGGTGATATTATGATTTCCTTCTGTCTCACTTCTACAGCTATCCCTCATTTGGGTGAGGCTACCCCAAAACCCAACAAACAATTTCTTATGGATGCTCTGATTGGAATGACTCAGCTCAACTGTTTTCTATAGCTGCGTCATTCTTCTCAAGATTCAAAATATTGGCTTGGCTTGGATCCCGTGTTCACCCCTCGGCACAAGTAGAATTCCCCTAAGACTGCTTGGAATGGGAAGCAGTTCCCTAAAAGCAAATGAGTTTCCAAAATAAGAGAGAAGGGCTAATGAGCAGGAAGAAATGACAGATGTCCACTGCAGGGAACTATTACAAAGGTCCAGGAGAAAGGTGATGAGGGCCTGGACTATGGAAGTAGAATTAATGAAACTTGACACCAGACCAGATGGGGATAAGGATATCCAGTCTTAGGGCCAGGTGACTGTTGCCATTAATATTCATTCTTTAATCGATTCATTCAATATACATTTTGTGGGCTTACTGTGCTTGGTGCTAGGGACCAAGCACTTGTTTACCAATGGTAAACAAGGAGGTCAGAGTGTCTACCCTTTTAGAACTTGCAGTCAAGAACTTAGGCGATCACAATCCAGTGATGGAAACCGTGCTGCAGTGGGAACACAGTGGAGGGGCACCCAGCCCAGATTTGAGGGGAAGTGACATCTAAAAGAGACGAGGAGCATTTGCCCAGAGAAGAGGGAGGGGAAGGGAATTCCACACAAAGGGGACTGTGCGCGTAAATGCCTGGAGGCAAGGGAGGCTGGTAAGTCGGGAGAAACCACTGTACTCAACAGAGGAATGCCTCTCTTATGTTGTGAAAATATTACACGGCAAAGGGCTTGGGGGGAAACAGCCGCATTTCATCCTACAGAAGCTGAAAGGACAGAATCAGGACTGCCTTCCTGGAAGCTGCGGAGGGAGTGCAGACCAGGCCTGGCCAGGGGGATGTTCTTGCCCGGGAATGTGTCCTTTGAGGGAGAGAGGCAAAGGGGTAGGACCTGTTCTTGCAGGGGAGGGGAGATTCCAGCAGCAGCGGGTGGCCAGTGGTCATTAGTAGTTGTCCAGCGAAGCTTCTCTGGCGCCTCATTGCTTTTGGTTCCTATCCACGCTTGAAATTTGTGAGCACCCCACATTACCGGCTTCCCTAGCTACCTAAAAGTTAACTGTTCATAGGAAAACTTTTGTGAGCCAAAATGGCATAAAGCGAAGAAACAATGATGATTAATTTATAATGTTCAACATATGGAAACATTTGTTGAGCATTCCCAGGCCCAAAAGTGGGTCTCAGAGAGGCTCGCAGACACCATTCAATGCTCTGACAGCTGATGCAGAGCGTGGTGCCTGGGGAGGAGCTTGGCGAGACCACGTGGGGCGCAGGATGCCTCTCTCACAGCTTGCTGCAAAACAAACTCTCAACACTATTTCTACTATTCACCTTTTCCCCCCATAAAAGCGAAAATCCTCTTCAGAGCTCTTTTAGTTGGCAAAACAGGTACTTTCATAACAGTTAAGTGATGGAACATGAACTTTCAAAAACTGGAGGATGCCTCTACTCAATGAACCCCACTGTGAACCCCGATTGGCACAGAGCCTGGAGAAGGCTGGCCTGGCTGCAGTTACAGCTCGGGAAGGTAAGGGGAGAAAAAAGAGGCCGGGAGGCAAGGACCATGGGAATTTTCCTGGGGGCTTCCCCTCCAATAAAAGGAGGGATGCCTAGGGGGACAAGCTC